CTGAGAAACCTCTCAAACATTGAAATTGCATCTGACTTCAAAGCTGAATCTACTTTAAATGGAGGTTTGAAGGAGATGACCTCCAGAAATTTCTTCCAATCTAAATTATTCCATGTTTCCTATTTACTAGTTTCAGCTTCCCTGACCTTACATTCAATGCAATTGTTAGGAAATCAATAAGTTATTTGGAACCTGTGACACTCCTCTCATTTAGAAAAGGAAGTGGCTCTAAATTTCTATTTATAATTCCACTGGTGACTTCTTACCCTTAGACATTGCAGCTGAAGTTAAATTTGCTGTTGCATGCCAATTACACATTTTGTTGTAACAATGTTAATTTATCCATGTCTACAAAAAAATCTTTGAAGCTTCTTGCAAGCTGCCCTTTTCTTGCTTTTGGCATTGGTATGGTAGGTAAATTTTGCAGGTTGAGAGCTTTAGGAGTTCCCTTCTGATGTAATTTTCTAGTCATTGATGAAGGTCTACTTACACTTTGAATACTAAAGGATATTTGTTCTTCATTTGGACATCCTCTCAGGGCAGAAGGTAGTACAGAATTACCAACAGAAGTGAACAGGTACCACTCTCCTCCTTCATCACATGCAATGAATACAACCAGTTGTTAAAGTTGTACTGCTTTCCCCAGGCTCTGTTCTCAATTGCACTGAGGCAAATTCAATTCAGAACATGTACATGCAGCTCCTAGGATAGTCTCTAGGTGAAATTCAGCAATGACAATTGGTGGTATAAAACTAATTTTGCACAAGAGGTCCTCAGACAACCCAGCAAGTCTGTACTGATTTTAAATTTAATAGGTGTTTAATAGAATACACAACCAGAGTGGGAGGGCTGAATATGTAGAACAAAAAAACTACTAACTAATAACAGTGAATGTCAAAACAGGCTGGTCCTACAGTGTGATTCACACCAGCTCAGATGACACTTATTTTGTAGATGAGTCTAATATTGTTGTGAGTGTTAATGTTAATAAATTGCTCTTGATTACATTGACATTAAAATTATTTTAGAGCACACAAATACAGGTATCATCCAGTTCATCATTAAGACAGATAAATGAAGAGATCTATAGGAAAATGGTGTTTCTAAGGTCTTTTCATACTTCATGGAGATCTGGTCGATGGAGGCTTGAAAATAACTCAGCTGAACACAATTCAGTTACTCTCCCACAGGTGTTTCTTACCATTTGAGATGCCTTAGGCCATCTGAGACATCTGCATGGGGCTTTTAGATCTAACCCAGGATTCCTTCCCTTCTCCAGGCTGAACAACCCCAACTCTTATCTCCTGTCTTCACACGAGAGGTGTTCCAGCCCTGAGATCAATTTAGTGGCTCTCCTCTGGACTCGCTCTAACAAGTCCACACCTTTCCCATGTTGAGGACTCCAGAGATCGATGTGGCAGTCCAGGTGAGCTCTCACAAGAGTGGACTAGAGGGGCAGAATCACTTCCCTTGACCTGCTGGCCACAGTACTTTTGATGCAGCCCAGGATGCAGTTGGCTTTTTGGGATGCAAGCACGTATGGCTGAGACATGTCAAGCTTCTCATCCACCAGCATCCCCAAGTCCTTCTCCCCAGGGCTGTTCTCTATGGTCACAGCAGTCATGCAGCATCTACCCTCTTGGAATAAGATGATAGAGTAAGTTACTATGGAGACAGCAAACCAATACCCTGAGATTGCTTTCTCAACCATTTGAACTGTAGTCGGCTCCCTCTGCTATAGTATTTTCCCATCTAGTTTCTTTTCTTTTTTTTTTTAAACAAATATGCATATGAGAGGCATCAGCAAAGTTGGAGTCTCCTCTTCACCTCATCTGACCAAGTTTTCTTTGAGTAAAGCATTCCCTTGGCAAGGAAAAGCCTTGGAAGTTCCCTGCTGTGGCTGCTGGCCCCATGCCGTCACATCGCTCCATGGCCATGGTGCTCAGTGCCTGCATTGCTCACGCTGCTCAATTCTAAATCCTTCTTGGTGGGGATCCTCAGTTGTTGCTGGAAGTGGACAAGACATCTCAAAGGACTTGAGTGCCTCATTGCCAAGTGGAAAACGGACTTAGAAAATTAATAATGAGCTCTATGGATTGATATTCCCAAGAGCAGTAATGGGCTGTTTACTGAAGGTGAAAAATAAATATAATGTGTTAAAGAGACAGGGGAGCATATAAGAGGAGAAACACTGAAAGACAGTAAAATATCCCAGGACACTCCTGCTCAAGTCCTGGACAGGGAAAGGATGAAGACAAGCTCCTGGAAAAACAGACAGACACAGTAAACCAAAATAGACAGTATTCTTCGTATTCAATCTCTCAATATGTTCAGTCTCTAATATGTAACTTTATGAAAAATTGACGCAAACACTTTTTTTTCTTAAAAAAATAAACAACCAAAACCCCTAAAACCTCAAACCCCAAACCAATTTACCCAGAAGCTGTGTTTTTGTTTGTTTGTTTGTTTTGGTTTTTTTTTTTTTTTTTTTTTTTTTTAAATTTAGCTGTAAAAAGAAGTCTAGGAGGGGTTTACTCAAAATAAGGTTTCCAGTTTTATTCAAATTAGAGATCATCAACTCACCTATCAGTCAAAGAAACACAAAACAGTTCACGGTAACTCATGAATGTTCTAAACATGCCAGTAAAACATGGATATAAAGTAAGTTTAGTCACAGTGATTCATTGTAGTCTTATGTGTCTTTTGTCTCTCAGACCCCCTGTACACATTGTAGTCATTGTCCCTTAGGGGTAAGTGTCATCTTATTTTCACGTTTGCCTGCATTGTCAAGCTCTGTATAAGAACTGGTTGCCCACAGCCTATACTAAGGTTAGTGGAAGTATCTAGGCTCTTGTTGCTGTGATTCAACAGTCTGATGTTTTAAGGTGTACTTTAAGATGACATTATTCACTGTCATTAAGTGAGAGCAACATTTCCCCCCAGTAACTATAAAGGGTCTCTAGTATTTTAAGCAAGAAATTTGTATTTATATTGTTGATGTCTCGACTAAAACTAACACCTGCTTTTCTATTTTGTAGCTGTCTGTATCACACAGAAAGAGTACCACCTCAGTAGTGCCTTTGGTCATCCTTTGTGGTGGTTGCTAAGAGTTGGTCATTGCTGGACAACATTAGGCTCCATCCAGTGCCCACACTCTGCTTTGTGAGAGCCCTAGGGGCTGAGATAAGCACCAGAACAAGGCTGTGGTGAAATGTAAGTCACTGAAACATGACCTCTCATGGACCTGGCAAAGTCATGAGAGCATTAGAAGCTATGATTAATCCAAGTTTGCTTTGATTTGCAGTCTGGGCTCTGGCATGAAGTTGTTACACTGGTGGCAATATGCTGGATTGGGACACTACTGATAGTTCTAGTACGGCCAAGGAGAATGACCCTCACAGAACAGACCTACTGCAACTCTGCACCTACAGACATGCCTACTCCTGTTGACATTTGGCTTTTATGCAAATGGTGGCTGCTACTCTTTTCCTGGTGTGCCATTCATAGGCTGGATGATGAAAAGCGAGATTACTGGGTACCAAGTAAGCTGTATCTATCACATCATTGTGAAAGACTGTCATTTGTACTTTCTTGCTCCCTGGCATCCTGTCCCTTGACCTACCCAGAGGACACTAAATGGTTCCCTAACACCTCAGATAGGGTTTTAGTGACTAGTAGTAAAAGATTTAGTGAATAATCGTGACAATACTTTGGCTGTTTTGAGTCCCTCCTCTCTATGGATTTAAAAACACTTAAAAAATCTTCAGGGACTCAGACCTTCTCTGATAAGATACTACATCCTGTTGTAAGTAATAAACCACCTTTATCTATTTTCCAGGTGGCATCCCTAATGATCAGAAAACAACTCAAGCTCTGTCAATATTATAAGAACATTTTTCGTTTTATTCTTTTTGGTGGGTACAAAAACCACAGTTTCTTACACAGAACAAGATTATAAATAATATCTGTAACATGAGTGACCCGTAGTCTCTTTTGATTCTACACTGCAGACTGATGAAGTACTCTAAACATTTTATCGTTTTGTTTCTTGTATTAGACAGATGAAAATCTTTTGAACACAGAATGATGGAACAGAATGAAGGTAACAGCAAACAAGAGGATGACCAACAACTTTTATAAAAAAAAAAAAATTCTCTGAATTTTATTACAGTGATGGCATTTTATATCAATTATTGCAATGATTTTTCCCTAAGATGGTTAGAAAAAAGAATTGTGTTGTCCTCTACTGAATTTACATCAGTTAAAAAGCAAGCATGTTTCAATATTCCTCTTTTTCCAAAGAAAATGTAAATAATTTCTTTATTTTTTTCACAGGATTTACATATTTATTTTTTTTATCACAGTTTAGTGATTCATTTCTACAGCTGAACAGCTGAGTATTCTTCCATTGTATATAATGATGTTCTGGAGACACAGGTTAGCATGTTCATTGACTTCTATAGCTATTTTTCTCTCTCTCTTAAGACAAAGACCAAAATGGTGTCCTTTCTGAGCATGTTCTTCACAGTTTAATGCGCTAAATTGGCAAGTCTTATTAGTTTTAAGTCCACTCAAGTGAAATTTGTTGCTGTTAATACACCCTTCCCAGCCCCCTCCCCCCAACAAAACTAAATTATGAATTTTCCTGATATAAAATCTGAGTTTGGGTTTCCGAGCTGAGCTCATGCACACATTGTTGCTGATGATGTCTGGCGCATTTGGACGTACTTCCCTTTCTCAGCCAAATTATTAGTTCATCAATGACACTCCCATGTCGTTACAGTCTGTGCTGTGTTCCCATCAGTCACCAACACAGTTTGATTAAGGCACTCAATTATTTTTTTGGTTTTTATGGTAGGTCCGATGCAATTACAGCCAATCCTGAACTTTGTCTAATTGCAGTTCCAGTATGCACGGCCTTCGGGCAGTCGGGAGTCAATACACGTCCGTTTTCTCCCACGCTCCCTGTGATGGATAATCTGGCTTTGTTTCTTATGGCTTCAGAAAAGGTAAGCTAGGTTTGAAGAAAAAGCAGAAAAGAGGAAACTGTTATAATGTTTCTGTCCTTCAACTAACCAGAACACAGCAAACACCAAAATATTAAATTTTAGACATCTGCATTTTTTATGTTAACATTAAATATAAAAATAGTAATAACCATAAATAATAATACATAGTATTTAAGTCTACTAGGGGAAAAAAGACTAGCAATTCTGAGGGTAAATTTCATTACAATAAATCATTACTGATTTAAATGTAAAATCTGAATTTGATAATGAAATTAACTGAAGAGGCAATACCTTCATTTAAACTTCTTCAAACTATATTTATATACAGTGAAAAGATCTTTATGAACCTGACAGCATTAGCATCTGTGAATATGACAGCATTAGCATCTGTAAATAAAATCATGCACAGGTGTTTATAGGCTTAGACCTTCAACTAGGAATGTCAAGATAAAATCTAACTACTGAAAATTGTTTATAAATTGCAATAGCTGGATCATCTATCTCTGTGGCAATTCCATGGATCAAATCTAAAGAAATTATTACTTCTTTTCATAATGCACATATTTAGTATCAGGAAATCTGAGAACTGTCCTCAAATCTCTTTCAGATATATATATTTCCCTACAACTAGAGAAGGTAGGAACTTTCAAAGGAACTGTAATTTATTGAAAGAAAACATAATTTTCTACATTGTCTAAATTTTCCACAAGAAGGTTTAAACTTTTTTACTTTAAAATCTTTGCTTTTAGACAAATCAGAATAAAATATATTGTTTAGTGACTAAATTACTCAAGCAAAAAATCTGGATTTGTTTAAAGATTTGTAGTTATGCTATCTAACTTAAGTCATCCAAAAACGACTAACAGAGCATTCTCATGTCATAACAGAAAAAGTGAAGATGACTAGTTTAGAGTAAATGATTACCAGATGACTAAATTTATGGGAGGTGTTTAAAGTCAAACAATGCAGCAAGGACACCTGGAAAAAACAGGTACCCAAATTATGCTACATTGAAAGAGATTTCGGAGATAACCATGTTAAGATATTAGTGGGGAAATCTGACTTCTAGTCAGCAGAAGCTATAGTCTAAGAAACTAACTCATGTACATGGTGTGTGGGGATGCAGTCTGAAATACCAATTGGAAAAAAACAGACAGGAGGGTGCATTCACAAAGGAGCAAAGGGATGACAAACATCATAATATCATTTTATTTGCCTTATTACTGATCTCTGAGTTTCAAACTTTATCCCTCTGAGCCCAGTTTCTCCTTCTCAGATAGCAGTGAAATTCTGAGATGGTGTTTGATATGTGAAGTTAATTTTATATACGAGTGCAAATGTATAGGGATAGGAACTCTCAAATATTTCCACTGCTTCTGATGCACTTCTATGGAAATGCACTAGTCTAATGTCGCATTGCTATCAGCAGCTCCTTCCAAAGGAGTCATCAAAAATACAGTGACTGTTGTGGCACAGCTGGGGTTTGGAGATAAAAGTAACTTTCCAAATCAATTACTCTAAAAGCTTCAGCCCTCATAAGTAATCTGAATTCAGGAAAAGGCCTCATCTTATAGAGGGCATTATGGCATTCCCTAATGTTGAAAAACCTTGGCTTTGGTAATTGTCAATTGCAATGTCCAAAGTCACCCTTTGAAAAGTCTCCCTGCTGCCACTGTACTTTGTGACAGACTGTTAACAAACAGACAACACCCAGATACAAAAAGGGTGGCAGAGGTAATGAGGGAGTGGGAACCTGCGCCTATACAGTACCAAAAATGTAACTACTTCCCAGCAGCACATAAAAACCTCTGCATTTGCAAAGCACAGACATAATGCAGTGTGGTGTAGAACCACATAGTGCATGTCCAGAGTCCTGTTGCAAATGGATATTGAGGACTGGTAACTGTCTGTAGAAGTGCACAGAACATGTTTTGGTCAATGGCAAGAAAAAAAACCAAAGGGGCTTTAGTTTGGGGGAAGGGTCAAAGTCCAAACCAGACTAGAAAGCAAACTTGGGTGGAAAAGAGACAGCTTGCTCCAGATGTGATAGATTTCCCAGAAAATCATCATTATGTATCACAGTCTCTCCACTATGTTGACCAGCTATCTGTCCACGGCCATTCAGAGTTTGCCACTGGGAAATCTAAGTTGGAGCACAGATTTATATGGGATATATGAGTTGTGTGTAACTGTGGTTTAGTAGCTCAGTCTATATGGCTTTCTGGCCATTGACAACACACTCAGGACAGAAAGACAATAAAAAGGATCCATCAAGAAAAAAAAAAAAAAAAGAGAGAATAACAGTTTCTCAGCGCTTTCCACAGAAGAACAGAAAAACTTCAAGAAAATAACTCTTCTCCTCTCATGGCAGAGGTAACAACAGCTCAGCAACACACCACAGAAACAACTCAGACAATTACAAAGCCAGGAAAAGCAGGTCAAACTTGTACTTGGGATGGTGCCATAAAGCCAAGTAACCAGGTAAGCTTCTACTTTGTATTTTAAACTATTCAATAGCTAACAAGTGAGGCTAATACTCTGTTTAATTGTTCTGCTGCAATTTCAGATTTACAGCCTGGCTGCAGAAACAGTTTCAGGAGCATCTGGGATGAGAGGGAAAAGTCTTGGTATTTATTGTGAATACTACCCAAACTGTGAAAGTATCTTAGTGGTAACTGTATGCAGTTAATAGTGATAATATATTTTTAAATTTGTCATTAGTTGTGATTAAATTAGTTGTGGAATTAATCATGTGAAAACACTACCTTGTTCCTAATGGGAGATGGGAATTTAGGAAACTAATATCCTCAGTCTATGTAATACAAATATCCTGGCCTGTGTGGGTTCTTTTGTTGTTCACACTCCTCTAGTACCTGGGTCACATGGAGGTGTCTTTGGCACAAATATCTAAGATGAACTTTTAATGGATTTTTCTATCTTGACTATGAAAGTATACAAGTCAAAATAAGTGCACTACACATTTACTGAGCCATCCTGTAGCACTTCACTTTTTCTGTAGTTAATTGTAATAATAATGTTTTTCATTGATTTTTGTGATTTTGTAATTAATTTTAGTCATTAGTTATAAACACTAGCATGGTATAGGAGAGCAAGAGAAGACAGCTGAGCTGGAAGCTGGATCCTGAGCTTCATGGCCCACTAAGGCAGCCACTGAGAGGATGTGGTGGTGGCTGGCTGGATAATAGGATAATCCCTTCAAAAGCCTGTGGGTTTGGGGTGAGGAACTCAGTATAGGGCTTTGCCCTAGAGCAGCTGGAGAGAAGGATATAAGGGTCTGTTCTCGGCATCAGCTCCACTTGTACAGTAAGGGCTTACTACGGATACACAAAAATGGACCCAGGGAAGAGGAAGGGATTGTTTCCTCCTTAAGCAAACTTCCTTCTCTGCCTTCAGCAGGTGCCACTGCCTATCATCCCTTTTGAATGTACCTATCCCACATACAGATATTAGTCCTTTATCATATAGACCAGTCCATACATACAGACCAGCCCTTCATTTTCTGCTGCCTCACAGGCAGGTGAGTTTCCCTGGAGTAATTCACATTTCACTGGATGAAACTAAAATAAAAAAAAACAAACATGGTAATGAATATTAATAGAGGATTATTTAAGCTATTTTATATTAGTTTAAAACATACACCATTAAAACTATTTGATGTTAGCTTAAAAAGTCAGTGTGTTGGTTACTCGCGAAGGTTAGAACCACCAAGCATCTTTCCATATTAGCAAGTTTTAGTTCTAATACAATCTCTTTACTCCTTGGATAAAAAAATATATTTAAGGTTTCAAAATGCAGAAGACAGACATATTTCTGCAGAAATAACTGCAACCAGTTTTGTGGGCTTTGTACTGCTGCCAGCTAAACAGGGGTTTATGACTAGCACATATATGAACAATAGATGGCATAGTCATCCTGTGCAGAGTGCAGCACACAGGTAGCCCTCACTGCCTCCGTGGCCAGGGGAGGATGACTGGACCTTGGCAGTCTTCCACATATGAGCATAAGCATTTTTATAAGAAGTCCACTTGAATTTTTTCAAGTAAATATTACATCAAATAAGCGGAATAAAGAATTTCGGAAGTCTGTAAATATTTGCTCAAAATCCTGGTAATTTTTTGTGAATTTTAGAAGTTTGTGCCCTAAAATTTTTTTAAGTGAATATTAGAAGTTTAGACCAACCCAAACATGAATTTTCAATTAAAAAATATGCAACATTCTTATATCTTTTTTTTATCCTTTTAAATGTATTTTTCCTATAAGAATTCATCTATGTGTTGCAACAAGTCCCATGGAAGTCCAAGTTGTAAAGAAAGCCGAACTTTTCTTAAAAATGATCTTTTCTTAAAATATAAAACTCAGCTTTTTTTTTTTATTATAAGGAAAACTTATGCTAAAAATATTTCTTCAAGTATAATCATAGTGTCTCACTTAAATCACAGACCTGTGTGGGAACTGTGGGGATTTGTCAAGTCATGCCATGTTTAATGTGCACAGATAGTTTGGGTCAGGTCAGTATTTGAATGAAAGCCTAATTCTTTTGTTTGCTTTCTTTAAGGCTATGTTTTGAATGCATAGCATTCTGTAAAATTGGTAAGGAATATGTTTTCTGGGGCTCTTACTGTAATACCAGCCTGGGGACACTCTCAGTTGCGAGCGCATCACTAAACAATGCAAAGGAAAAAGCACTCTTCATTTGCATTTTGCACAATTACTTGCACAGGATTACTTCTTTTTAAGACCCTTATTACTGACAGTAGGGAGTGAACTTTGGAGATTAATATTAGCATCTGGAAGTCCTGATTCCCAGTTCACAGTAATGAACACTGGTCTATACGCTTGGAGTCCTCTTGACACCTACTCTGCCTCACATTTTCTCTAGTGAACAAAGTGCACACCTAACACTTTTTTTTCTTTTTTTTTTTTTCTACAAGGGAAAAATTGGTGGCTCTGTTATGATTAAAATATACCCAGGGTCATGACTTTTTCTTCAACAGAGAACAAAAGAAAACTACACAGCAACATTATGTTTGGGACAATTTCCCAGCCAGCGTACACCAAGCCCCCTCCCTCGCCCACCAAGAACCCACCTATTCCTCGCAGCGCTCCAGCTATCATGCTCAAACACCATTCTCTGCTCACTCTGTGTTTGCTCTGTACTGTATGGTTCGGTATTGTACCGGCTGTGCCTTTAGGCCGTAAGCTCCTCGGGACAGGGACCTGTTATGTGTTTGGCACACTTCACCTATTGTACAGCGCCGTGTACTCCAGCGCTATATAAATAATAAATAAAAAATGATAATTTTATCTCCAGTTGTTTCCTACAATTTTTTTTTTTTTCTAGGTGGCAACATAAGTATTTCCTTAAATCTGTGTTTCTTACTTCCACTATAGGGATGGCTCAGTAGCTCAAGTTTTTTGTTAACGGAGGAGACATGTGGCTTGCTATTTGCAAGGGCAAGGGAGCTCTAGGTAGCATGACAGGGTAGGGTCCTAGCTGCACATTCATGTATAAAACAGCCCGTATAGCTTGGGAGCTATGTAAAAGTTATATTTAGAAGCTCAATTTGCTACTACGTGCCATTTCCAAAGGTCAGAGAGTTGATTTGTCTAATCATTAGTTGGCAAAATACTCACTGTACAGATGAAAGCAAGCACATTAGTAAACCACCCCTGCATGCCTACTCAGGAGAGCTATGCAGGATGCAGCCTGGCAGTATCAGTTGTTCAGCCTCCGAAATGACTGTGTGAATATCTAAAATGCACTAGTCTTGACCTAAGTAAGGGGTATGTTACTGAAAGCTGAGGACAATAATCAAGTTCTATCCACTGGTTAGTGACTTTATATGACTATTATAGTGGGCAAAGGTTGACCTGAAGCAGGATATTGTGGAAAAAAAAAAAAAAGTGCCACACAATTAGCATAAAACATGTATCAAAGGGAGGATGAAGGGACATGGAGGGGAGGAGGGAGAGAATGTAAAACAACATTTAGACTTCTTGTAACAGTGCCTTTTCTTCCATTAGGTTAACTATGGTTCAGTGACATTGCCTATGCTAAATCTTGATTATAATGAAGTTCCAGTTAGGGCCAACATCAAATAATACAGGTTTGCAGCAATTGGTCACTAGTAGAGTGCAAACCTTTGGCAAAACAGACTGCCAAATCAAGTACTTAAAAACTGGCCCTCTGAATACATACTTTCTGATTTCAAATAGTTGTCATCTTCCAACTGATTTGACAACTCAAAATGTACTTTTCACGTTAAAAATTCCTTGCAATGCAGATGTCTATTAGCAACATAGAATAATATACTGTACATCTGCAGCCAAAAGAACTGAACCACTTTGCACTGAAGTTTTCCAAAAATATAAAGCTCTGTTCAGAAGCAAGCACCACTAGACAGACATGTCACAACACTGCGTTACAAGATGCATCACCCACTCGCTATAGTAGGCCCTAAGTCCTACCCCTAAATTTTAATACTTTCGGTTCCATATACGTTGTAACCTTCTCTATAAGTTGCTAAATTCTGGGTATTCTGCGAGGAAGTTGGGTTAAAAGTCTGTGCACTCTTTGCCACCTTCATTCGTTTCGCCTCTGCCCTGGACTTGTAACAGAACTCTATCAAAGCCACCAGCATTGCCAAGCCCAAGCCTCCAACCAGAATGTAGAAGACTCCAGCAACGTTGCTGAGACTCAAGGCACTCGTCTTGTCCTGGGAAAACAGAAGTGACACAGTTAACCCTGGAAAACAGATGCCCAAAAGCACAAGCCACACATTAAAACATTAGAAATAGAAATAAATAACAATGTTTAGCTGAATTTAACAACAGTTGTTTACACACTTTCTCAAAATTTGACCTATCTGGATCTATAAAATATATTTTAAGCAACTAGTTTTCCTGGTTGGCATAAAAAATATTGTAAGTTTATTGCCAACATATCAGGATGTCATTGCTTGCTTAATGCAAAGCACTGCTTCCATTAAGTGGAAAATTAGGCAATGACATGTCTAGCTCTCTTTAGGGGACATTTCAGCACTGATATGAAACTGCATTTATGTAAAGCTCTTCAGAAGCCTTGGAATCCAGAAATCCATTTATATCAGACAAGACTCTGCTTGATCTTTACAAAAAACAGTAATTGTACTTGTGGTAGGCATTGCTGTTAATTTAAAAGATCCAGACTGAGCATCTGATACCTAAAGGACAGGTGAAAATAACATGTGAGGCCTAATTTCTTTCTTTGAACAAACACTTCCTCTGACAGTGTACACTGTACCATACACATCGTGATATATTTGCCTCTTACCTATTATGGTATTTTTTGTTTTTGTTTTTGTTTTTGTTTTTTTTACTATAGATACAGTTCTGGAACATGCCCATGGACTTCTAAGGCTCAATAACAGTATACTTCTTAATAGCAATTTATAAAATTTTATACATTATTGATAATTTAGACAACAGTGAGAGCTTTCTTTAACAAATTATTAAATATATATAATTTTACAAACAATTGCCTTTTTGGATGTATTTACCACTCTACATTTCTCTATACTTCCATACTGCTTAGTTGTGAATCACATTTTTTTTACTTGAAATCCCTGTGTATTTTTAGCATAGTTCTCAAGGAACTCTCTCAGGATTGACTTCCATATGCTACATTGGGTGCCTTAAGATACTTATAAAGCTTTATTCTTATGCAGACTATATAATCTTTAGCTAAAGTAAGGAGAGTACTTAAATTCTGATTGTAATCTCTATGAAATTTTAACTTACGAAGAATGCAAAAAATTTGGATATTTAATTTAAGGAGGCACTATTTATTGTGTAATCAGTAGATTAGCACAGTAACAGTTTCCATGGATGTACAGAGGTGATTTGGGCTTACAGCTGTGTTCTGCTTTGTCTGTGTCTTTTTAGATGGCTAAGAGGAGTCTGAATATCTTGGAGATGGCTGTTCCTCTGGTGGCACTTACTAACATGGTGCTTGCAAACAAAGAGGAGACAGAACTGAGAAAGACCTGCCCTAATGTAGGTGGTGGATTGAGGCTTTCTCAGCTGTCATTTACAGGTACTCTGTCATCCTCCTAACTGGTTTTCACTCCTTTCTTCAAAGCACTTGCCAGAAAAAGCAAAATGTGTTCAAAGCTTGCTTCCCACACTGCTTTTACCTGGGTATCTCTCAGGACGTGCAGGCAGCAAGCAGCAGGGCCCGTCACTCTTTCCCTTTAGCTGTGGCTGCACAGGCTGGCACTGACTCAGCCACTGTGAAGAAATGTCAGACTTTCTGGATTGAGGGCTGGAACTGACTGTGGTGCTTCCCAGCCATCAGAAAATACCTGCTTCTGGGTCTGTCCCCAGAGACAGAGAAATAGAAGAGGCTCTGCTTCCTGGACCTGTCAGGATTACTGTTTGGGAATGGATTAGGATGAACACTGGAAGCTATAGAAAGTGATTAATTATTGAAGTCTTTCACTTCAAAGCTCATGTGTTCCTTGGCTCCTCAAGCAGCCAGGGCCATTCCCAAAGGCAGCCAGACACCATCTTCCTGGGCAGCAGTGAAAGGCAATCCTTTCCACTAGCATTCCTCCTTCTCAGAAAAATGCTGAGGTAGGCCAGCTCTAAAAGAAGAAGATGGGAAGGGACATTTCCTAAGCAGTCAGTGGGAAAAGTCCATCCCCTCCAGGCAGGAAGGAAACTACTAATCCAGCCTGCCTTTCCCAAATGCAAAAAACATGCCTTGTATTTTTTCAAGGAGATGCTCTGAACATGTAGGATGATGTTTGGTGATCTGTATCACTGAAGACTTCAAAATGCAATAGTGCTTCCTTAAATTAAAGTGAGACCCCCTCAAGACGGGCCGAAGCTGTTTTGCTCTATGGATACAGCTACTTATTTTATTTCTAATTCATTTTTGTTTATTACTTCCTCTACCGCTCTGTGAACACGATAGTAGGTCCCGAACTGTAGCGACTGACCTTACTTCCAGAGTCCTTGGGTCCACATTCACCTTTATCGTACCACCATTTGTTTTTCAGCTTGTCTAAGACGCCTGCCTCACTGAGTTTCAAAACGGCAAGGTTTACAGGAGTTCTTCACGTGGAAAATAACATAAATAACATTATATATGTTATTTTATGTTATTCAAGTAAAACTACATAGAATCGCATTGCAAAGTGACAGAGCAGAGGCCACAGTGGGTGCTATGTCATGTACTGTTGGCCCAGGTTTAGAGACAGACATATGACCGGGACCTGCTCCATCGCTTTAGGTAACAGGCACATACTGCTGGGGAAAATTTGTAAATAAAAAGTATGCAATTACTGTGAACCCAAAACTATTGGCTTAGACATATTAACAACATACCCTTCAGAGATATACGTAATACAACTGGATATACGACTTAAGAAACATTAATTTGTGTTCCTTGCTTTCAATCTATTCTTAGTTTGTATGCATACAAACTAATAATATGATTTGACTATAGGTATTTCATTTACTGCCCTCAAAATTATCCTGGCAAGAAAAGAAGATGCTTCAAACAATTTGCTGCCCATAAACACTTGGCACAGCCTTGTAATAGGTCTGCATGCTGATACACTTATCTTCAGCTAAGAGCATGACAGTGAGGCTTTCATTTCCATTTCCTGTTTCAACACTATTTTAAAATTCAAAGTTTTTCCTTAAATCTCACTTATTCACATCAGTGTTTAAGGGGTCCCAGGCTGATGATAAATTTCTACTTGGAGTAGCTTCTTTTACTTGTGGTATTTGCTGTGGGTGATGTAACAGAGTTAAATAATGAAATGAAACATAATCTGATGCCTCAAAGTTATGAACCGCCTGGGGTTTACACTGCAATTACTTAAACTCAGTGAATAATCTCAGAGTATTATGGTAATGCCCCACTTCATGCAGTTCTACCAGTTTATTTTTTTAAAATCAATTTATTAACAGACTTACTTTATGTACTTTCCACTTTGAATCATTGTCTAATTCTTAATGTAGTAGCATATGGATATCTATTTATGTGCAGGTGTGCATGCAAATACAATATATATCAGAGAAGCAGGTAGATAAACAGAAATGGCATGTGATAGATAGCCTTCTGATGATGGTGTATGACATGGGACCTGATCCTGTGCATGCCAGCAGATTCCTAAGGGAAAATTTATCTCTCATAATATGACATAATTCATTACTAAAATGTTAACTCCTGAATTCAAGGCTTAATAAACAAATAAATAGTGCAAACTTTTAGTATAGTGTAACTGAAACTTCTAAGATAGTTACCAATGAAGAGAAAGGGGCTTGTTACACTCTATAATTGGTTTAACTGGAAATCCCCAAGTGCTTATGTATTAATATATCTGTGCATGTTCGTATAGATATTTAAAACATAAATAAGTGCTTCTGGACCCTGTATGCTATTCTTAGCTTTAGGGATCATGCCTCTTCACACATTCGGGTTATTCCTTGTGTGTGTACCTAAAGTGGGGGGGGATTCACTTCACCTGAGTTTTTTCACCTCTAAATTATGCCCCAAGTTTTGTCTGTCTGTACTGGCCTCCCTGTAGTTAAGGGGAAAAGGTAGGTACCTCCAAATGGTGGGCATAGATTAGTTTTAACAAAGACTATGTCTTTTCATTTACTCTTGAGGAAGCCTTGGTGCCTTGGAGAAACTTTTGGTAGCCACAGTTGTATGAGATTTCCCAGGTACTCTCATGTGATTCCTCTAAGTAAATGCTTCACCCACTTTCGAAATCCCACACATTTAATTCATATGGAATACTCTCCTTCTAGAACTGTAAATGCCCATTTCTCACTCTTTTCCAGTATTCAAACTTATATTTTGCCTTCAGGCTTCCTGGCAGCAGGCTGTGCAGGTTGATAGTGGAATATGAGAGTCCCACAGCTGTGAAATGAGTGGGTAGCAGTTTGGGGTGCTGGCAAGTTGCCTGTCAACATGATCCTCTGTTTGCTTCTAGTACAAGTGAGAAATAATTTATATTATTTGGCTAGCTGTCATCTGTAACATGTCATGCACTGGCACTGAGCCACATTTTAGTGCTCCATCAGTGTAACAGGGCTGGTTATGACAAATATAAGGGGCACACAGGTACTGTTCTCACTTGGAAAATCAGAAGCCTGTAGAGTTTTTGCAGATTAAACTGATTGAAGTGATAAAAAGGACTAGATATGAACTATCAAGACCAGCAGCAAGGTGGGAACATGTCAGAAAACAGATGCCTCCAAGTCCTTTGCTTGTTTTTGTTTCAGCATTAACAGTTTAGGCACATAAAGCCTGAAACAGGCAGGGATCTTTTTCTTCTTTGCAACTGCAGTTTCTATAATATCATCCTTTCTGCATTGTTTCTGCAAGGAAGCTCCCAGGTTTTTCTTTATGAAAAACAATCTATTTCATACTAAAATCGCCATGCTATTCTCACTATATAACTGAATGCAATGGCAATGGCCAGCACGGATGAGGCAATTCCCACTTTTCACTGGAATACAGCCAGTGATGTGACTGAGGCCAGGCCCTTGTTTCTCCTCTCCATGAATTTTGTTGCAAATGAAGGCACTGCAGAAGCTCAGGGAAGCCTGTCTTCTGCCCCTCACTTTCTTGCCTGTGCTAGCAAGCCTGTGGTGTGCCCTTTGCACCTGCCCTCAGACAGTCCCAGCTGTGATGAGGGAGAAGCATTCCAGGCAAAATTTAAAACTATGAATTCAAAATATTTTAAAATATTTTACACTTTCAAAACAGGATTTTGTCCTAATTTAAATCAGTCAGCTGCAATGGGAAATGTATATTATCCAATATAAGAAGCCCAGACTAAGGGGTTGCAAAGTGGAAAAGGAAGATTTTTGCTTATGCTTTTCAGAATAGCAACATAAATACTTCTTTGCAATCACAGTAAGTGATTGCAGGTGTAGTGAATTTTAATGTACGTTAGGCTTTGTTTCGTTTGGTTTTTTTTCATTTTAGTAGATTTTCAAGAGCTGTCATGGGAGATGCATACCCAGATCACCTCGACTCTCAGGGCAAGTCGCTTACAATTTGTTACTACATTGCTTACACAATCAGTTGGTAAATAGTCCCACTGATACTAAAGGTGCCAGAAACTAAAAATCAGTAAGGCTTGCTGTATGTGAACAAGAGCAATGCACTGACCAAAGTTTTATCCAGGGGATAAATCCAGCATTTATAATTAAATTTCCCATCAAGTTCAGCATTTCATACTTAATATAGCAATGGGAAATTACTATACATTTGGGTTTTGTTCAAGTTATTTAGTGATTCATGAATTACTAACATTGGGCTAAACTTTCAACTAGAGTTCAACTAGCACAATTTGTGAAAACTGGTGTAGTTTTTCCAACATATGCCTGTTGAGAATCTCTGCTGTTATATATAAACAGGATCCATCTGCCTGAAATTCATGTAAGGATAATATATGAGAAATAGTAACTAAAACTGCCCTTTATCTATAGAAAACAATTTTCCCCCTGTAGTCATAGCGCAAAACTGTTGAGTGATAGCACAGGAGACCCTGTTCTTCACCCATGTCCTGAAGTTGCTGTTGGTTGTTACCCAACCTGGGCACAGGGTCACTGATTTTCTACCATTTCATCGTGTTCCCAGCCCTTCTACTTCCTCTCTTGGCTCCTTACTCATTTCCTCCTCTCCTGTCATCAATCACTTGCTGTTGGAAGGGCTGTTTTTTAAGAGCCTCAGGCTGGATCTTGAGCCAGCAACATCAGCAAAATCACAGAGCTTTAAAAAGGCATTAATGAAGTTGTGAGCTAGCTGCATTCAGGAGAACAAATGGGTAATTATAGCATTTGAATCACAATACTGAGTGATTGCAAAACCGATATAGAATTCTAGTAGACAGGGATTTTAAAATGCAATCATGGCTATGCTTTAGGAGCATTTTCATTACCCACTCATGGCTGAGCCAATTAATTAAGTGTAAGGTCAGTCTCATCCGCTGAAGGAAAGAAACAATGGCTCCTATGTTCTCTTGAGGGCTGTCGGCAGAGTCTGGAGAAGATCTTCATCAGCACAACTTCCTTCCACTCACACTTTTATAAAAAAATGGAGCAGAGCGGTGAAAACTGTGTTTCAGTACCTTCTCATGCACCACATGAAATGATGATGGCATTCAGTTAGGATCCGAGGTAATACTTCCAAAAGCACTCAAATAACTTGGAGACCTCAGTTTTATCTTCAGCCATGAACCGATTAATGAGGTCACTAGAGCACAGGTGGTTCACACAGGGCAGCTCTCTGAACCATCTTTCTGAATTTTGGAAGATTGTCCCTTAAAGGGAACAACAAATGGGGAGGCTAGAGATGACTTTTTAAGAGCATAGAATGGAGGTAGGAGCAATCTCATTTTACAGAGCAATACAAACCTTTGGAAAACTGCTGAGCTCTCAATAAACTCCCTTATTTCTGTAGTCTTCTGGTTATTCTGGGTCTAGACTAGTGAATCACAAGTAGTAACAGCATAGTTATTAGTCAAGCCTCCAGTGCTGTATTTCAAGAGAAAAGAATGTTCTTTTTCTCATTCATGATAGTAGGAAGCCCTGTAATTTGGACTGGAGCTGCTAAAAAAGCTCAGGATTTGTTCTTTTTGAATTCTTACAATGAAAAGAAGTTCTAGCTACAGATGCTTACAAACTTAGTTTAGAACTTGTTGGTAGCTGTCAGGTTTATAACAACAGTGCATAGTGTCCTGGTTATTCTACTAATGATCATTTGCCAGAAAAAACCAAACCAAACCAAACCAACAACAAAAAAAACAACTTAGAGCTTCATTAATTCAGTAGAAAGGCTCGTATTGAATTCTATTGATCAAAACTGTTCCTGAACAAGGAAATTGATTTTATAGATGATAAATGGCTAATTAATACTTTGGGGAATCAGACTGTCTATAGTTTATAGCCCAAGACCAGATGCTGCTGCAATGCAGACTTTGAGAAGCATGGTAATGCCTGCTCATCTGCATGATCCTACCGAACGTGGGCAGTGCAGGTGCATGACAGACCTGGATCTTCCCAGGAGTGCTAGTACTGCCTGCTCACTCAGCTATGCCTTGGAAAACGTGTGGCAAGAAACAGGCCTGAGGTCAGATGAATGCTCGTGGCAGGCTCTATACACTCCTAGAACCACAGGTTGTGCTCCATCGTGTTCTCCATCTTTCGCTAATGCTGTCTTGCCCACCACATTTTCTATTGTGTCCTGAACTGCCTTTGTCACCTATTGTTTATTTCCACTGGCAATGTGTTCCTTCCTCCCTCCTGCATTCATGGGTCCTTCCTGTTCTTCCATGGACTGCACTCCTTGCCTTTCCTTTCTACTCTTTCCCCCCACTCTCCTTTTCCTGTCACTTGCCATCACACCAAACCTGCTCCTTCAGCACTTCTAGACACTTCCCCAGTGAAGCCCTGTCTGTCCCCCTACCATAAGCTGCTCCCCTTTTCCTGCTTCATGACTCAAAGCACCTGTGGCAGGGAAAGTAAGTTAAAAATATCCTTATTTTCCTACCTAGCTTTTATCTCACCTGGCAACCACAGGAAGTTTGTGAGAATCGTATTCTAAGAAAATGGAGATATTTTAATGATTTGACTCCCTGCCTGTGACACTTTTAAAAAAGTAAGTAAATACCCCTGGGGCCCCAATAATACAAATAATACAAAAGTTCAGGCTTGGGTGGAGCATTTGATAGTAACAATGTGGTAGAGCTATGGTTCACTTATCAACTTTCTTAATAGAAGATGGTGTCTGATCCACTTGCAGTTAAGTGCTATCAGATCTAAAATATCTAAGCACTTTGGAAGAGAAAATAGAGACCATTTTTGAAACTGTGACTGCTGGCGAGCAGAGCGGTGTGGGGAAAAATAGGTAGAGCAGCGGGATTGAAGGCAAAGTGAAGAGGATTAGGAGACCAGTTCTGGGTGAACAGAACAGCCCAAGGGATGGTCCCTGAGGCCAGGACACAGCATGAAAGAGCAGGAGGACTAGAGAAGGAGAGAAAATAGTAAGAAAAAAATATATGTAGGCAACTGTAAAGAAAGCTACATAAACTGTGTATGAAAAATCAGTCAAGTGTAATCATCTATATCTGACTAGCTCTGTGCCTGCACAGTTACCTGTGCGGCATTCTCTCATGTATTGTTCACACACAAGCACATAAATAAATATTATTACATGCTGCCTGGCATGGAAGGGGTAGTTTTTAATATCTTCATTCTTCCCCACTTCCCCATCTCCCACATTGTTGCTTATTTTCAGCACCAGACAGTTTGTCAAACAAGGTTGTGCTGAGGAAAGGAATTACTGGTACTGGCCATATGGAAGATATGGGAATACAGAAAGAATAAGAAGCTGTCAACACCTCAGCCTAATATGCAGCCTAAAATTCCTGTCTGATAAATTCTGATAAATTATGCCTAGGGAACCACTGTGGATTTCAGTTTGCTGGAATGATACCAGGAAATCTCAGCATGAAGATATTTTATCTGAAATTTGTCTTCCTATTTTGGGTACTCATGAAAATTGTAATTTGTACCAGTATTGTTTGAGTCAATAATGGATCCCTGAGCCTAGACCGTACATTAAATTATTTCTTGGAGGTAGTCACACTGATTTTTGCCTTTTTCCTCTACTGTCACTGAAAAATATTTTGGGTAGTAGGAAAAAAGTCTGAGCTGGTGAGCAGGCTTCTGAAGGTATCAAACTGCTTTTTCACAAGAGCAAGCTTGGAAAAGGGTCAGCACAATTTCAGAAGATGCAGGTTTCCGAAAACCAGTGATAGATCTCACCCCAGAGGCAGTGTACGGGTTCCCCTTGGGGTGCTTAAACAAATGCAAATATTTTTGCTTTGACAGTAATTGCATACACCTCGATTTCAGCTGCAGGTGCCAGCAGTGCTGTGCTACTGGTGAAGCTGTTTTGTCGCAGGTAAAGCCCCAGCAGATGCACCAATTACTTTACATACTGTTTACCCGCTTTTGGTGACATTGAGGCTAACCTTGGAGTCACCTCCCCCGCTGCCACATTCTCCTTTGTCGTACCACCATTTGTTTTTCAATTTGTCCAAGAGGCCTTGTTCATTCAGTTTTAAAACTGCGAGGTTAACAGCATTTCTTGAAACGATAAAACATATTTTGTAAGAAACTGCACAGCTGTTAAGATGTTAGAAGGAATGAGGACTTAAGCTGTTTATAAGCTTGATCCACACACTAAATAAACCTCTCATTTCCATATTTCAAAGCCCTTGACAGCACAAATAATTGTGGTTACTTTCAAATGTGAAAAATGTGTTTCCAGCATAGAAATGATTTTCAGAACAGCTTGGATTTTAGCACAAAAATTCTATCAACCAACCCAAACTATTTTTGCAAAATGATGATAAAACTCTGCCTGGAATTATAACTATACAGAATGATACAGATTTATTTGAATCTATATTTGAAATGTGTTCAGTGTCTAGGCTGTTTTTTCAAGCAGATGGGAAAATGTAGTCCCATGTACTAAAGAGGCAAGATCCAGACTGCCTATGCTAGACGCTGCCAGTCACTTTGCCATATACAGTTTTGACATGTAGCACTTCAGACTGATCCCACACAAGCTATGGGACAGTGCTCCAGAAACAGGCAATATGAGGAAGAGCTGAAGAGGAGCGCTAACAGCTCACGTGCTGACTAAGATGCTGTCTAGAGCCAGTCAACAGAAAGAACGGGACAAAGGTGCCAAGAATCCTGTCTGTCTGAAGCTCTATCCCCTGCTGTAGGCACATCTGTACATTTGGGATGCAGGCTCTAGAGTCCTGCTCCCTTTGCACAGTACAGGCTTAGTTGAAATGCAAGACCTGTGGTCTAGTTTAGTGTTGTGACTCTGGGGACTGTCCTTCTATTTTGGGAGAGCACACTGTCTCCCAGCCCAAAGGGCACCTGCAGCATGAAGGAACAAGATGGCAGTGGAGTGCATCCTCGCTCGGGAAACCTCTGAACAGCCAAACAGAAGCTCAAGCTCTAGGAAAAACAAAACCAGCCAATTAGCTGGATGCTGAGTTACAAGAAGGTTGTTTGGACATCCTGAGGACTTTTCCATGGAGAGTTTATACATGTTATGCTACCACTGGATGAGAGACAAATCCTGCTTTGGTAGCAACAAAGTGGCATGGGCACAATAGACTGAAAGGGGTTCCATGAGCCTGGTGGCCTCTGTATCACATTTAAATGCTCTTTTTTCAGATGAGAGAAATACCTGAGAGAGAGTTCGGACCTGTGCAGGCAGAGGGGTGTTGCCAACACGAAGGCTAAAGCACAGAATCACTGCTTCTGTATGAAATCAAGGCTGATGGGAGTGGTCTGAAATTCATGTAAGAAATAGGACACAGCTGGTCCTAGGATGCAGTTGCTTCTGTGCATGCTCAGAGGTTTTCCTTTAGGTGTCTAGAGAGTATTATGACTGGATGGTAGAGGGTAGACAGCATAGATCATCATACAAACCCAAATGTAAGGCATCTGGATTTACTATAGGAACTACAGGCACTATGTAACATTTTAAAATCAGTTGACAACTAATCTGACAAGGTATTTATGCAGCCTTCATCACCTCTGGACAAAATTTGCCCTTGTTTAAGTGTACAACTTCCTATCTGTATTACTAAGACTTTCAACAGTCATGTATCACATACACAGCTACATCAATATTTATTTATAATTCATAATAATAAACTTTTATCTTCCTATTTTTTATGTCCAGAGGTCCCTAGTGCATTGATGCCTATCAGACACGTACACTCTTTCTGATGCGTGTCTGCCCAGGCTCACTTGTGCATCTGCAGAGGCACATGAAGCAGTGGCACCAATGCATCTCCAAAGTATCTGAGAAGTGTCAGCAGCTTAACTACTGCTCTTTGGGGATGATACGTGGTTGAGAAAGATGAAATTTTTCTCTCTAAATTTGTTTAATGCTGTCAAGATCTGTCCATCAGTAATGAGTGGGATTTTACAAGAACTATGTCAATGGCATCATCACCTCAACAATAGTGAGAAGATGCAGTACCTTCAAAGTACCTGGAGAAGGGCTGGAAAGAGAGATCCTCTAGTGGCAGGGTTCCATCAGATCCTATGGCACCAAAAGACACTGGGGATAATGATCCACCCTCTCTAGAGATGGCTGGACTTTGGTCCCTGTGGGTCCCTTCTGGACTTAGAAGAGAAATTTTTCTCTCACTTATTAGGTGAGATGTCTTCCTGGAAGACAGGTACAGACAACGGTACTTCACAGCTTATGAAGCGTTCCTTACTACCTTGGCTCATCTGTGGGACAAATGTCAGCTTCGGGACTGTCTTCTGGTAACAGTTTTTTATACAGCTCCTGCTGGAAGCAAGACAGATCTTTGCTGGCTGGTCATGAAGTTTGGAAACTGCTTGTATGTAGATCTGACTTTACCTAGCTTCAGTGTAGTTAGGTTTATATGAGATTTTCCATACAGATAAAGTAATTGCTTGTCTGTCCCTGACAGTGAAAATGAGAACTGTAGGCTATAGTGGGAGTGACAACAGACTGCTCTTTGTGGATAAATCTTTAAAGGGAATTTAGCAGCCAGGCTGACAAATGTGATTTTGTAAAAGTGCTCTAATTATGGTTCACACTCCAGAGGGAGAGAAGCAATTGGAAAACTGGAATGAAATTTTTTATTTGTCCCTTTTGTTCTTGGAAGAAATTGCTTTTCAACCAGTCATATTTACTACAGATTTTTCATACTCAGCTTTTAAATACAAAGCCTGTGCTTTCGGTCTGTTTGTGCTATTCAGAAAGGTAACTGTGTGGTCAGCCTTGCCACTTAACAGACAGAATTCCAATAAGCTAAACTTAAATTTTATCCTTGTAAGGACATTGGGACTGAGCCATAGATGAAAGATGATCCTAGAAACTCTATTTTTTTGGATGATGAGCAACATTACTTATTTTGAAAATGACTTAGATATGTATCTGGAGCCTGCTGTCTACAAAGTCAATGTCAAAACTGCTTCTCCCTTCAACAGGATCCAAACCAAGGTCTAATTTAGTGCTGCTATGTCAAATTGTCACACTGGGTGGCAATAATACAAACAGCTGCTTTGACAGTGCTACAGATGCAGGCAGGAGTGATCACTCCCATGAAAAACGAAATGTGTCTCAAGGAATATCACTAACTCTCAATTCAACAAACCACTTGATCTCAGTCTGATTTTAAAGTAGATGGGAAGCCCTCTCAATCTGTCTATCTGTAAAAGCATCTTCATACTATTTCCTCTAAGCTGTAGTCTCTCAAGTGTCAACATTAAAGCTCACCAAATTAGACAAAGTGCTTATGCTAAAATGTTTAGAAAGGTCTTTCTTTTCAATCTTTATCTTATCTCGGATGAAGATGGTACCTGATAATTTACAACTTTTTTTCAAGCTTTCCAAGTTAATGTTTACTTAGGCCTTTCATCTGGATATTCTAAGATGAATTAGAAACAACTAGGTGGGGTTTTTTTTGACAACTAATATAAACATTTTCATGTTTAATTTCAATGTTGAAGGGAAAGAGCTTTCTCACTTGCCAAATGTTGAATTTTATCTTTCAAAGTATTAAAGATTATCAAGGAAAATTTTCCCACAGTCATTTAGAGAAGCTGCAGCTGGTTGATAGTAATCCTAGAGTAATAAATAAGTAAATGAAACCCATTCATGAGAGGGTTATTTAGCTGGGTTATTAGCCATATCCATAGACAGTTTCACAGCACAATAAAGAAATGAAAATAAAAAGGATGAAGAAGTAAATGTGGATTTAAGCTGCAATCATCACTCTGAAATTAAACTGTATTGTTTATAAATAACACATTATTGTCCTCATCATGTCTAGTAGGCCATGTAAAACCAGGTTAGTTTCACACTGCTTTCTCTGTTCCTTTGTTATCCAGGTCCACGTCCACGTTTGGAAATCAATAATTTCCTTCTGGTCAGCAAAGCATAGAACCTTTGCTCAACACTCCTATATCTCCCACAGATACATTATAACTGAGAGCCTAAAATTTGCACTGATGACTGCACTGAAAATTATATACCAAGACCTCAGAGCCATGCTAGATCACCTATACTCATCCTAGAATGTGCATTATTCTGTCACAGAGAATGCATTTTGAAACTTGAGCATCCGTGGCAGATATGTTTTTCATTTTAAAAATTAGACTCAATACCACACTTAGTCAAAACTCCCATTGAAGAACAATGTGTTCCTCAATAAAGAAACTGAAGTCTTTGCAAGACTAAGGGTTTAACAGTAAAAAACAGGCAAGTGCTTTAATATTTGACTCTTAATCCTTGGTGTCGCTGCACAGTCCTGCCTTTTCCATTACTCACAAGAAAATGTAGTCCTTGTATGTAAGTCAAGCCAGTTCAGACAAAACTGCATCCCTCGCATTTCATGATATCTCACTTCACATGTACTTGGGTGCATGGACAGTAATTTCAACGTATGGATCACAGTTATTTTTAGGTTGCCTTTAGAATTACAGTATGAAAAAAGTGATGAGAATTAAATCATTATTATTTAAAATTACTGTCCATCTCCCCATGAATAAATAGTAGTAAGCAGTTTAAAACATTAAGTAGTATCACTTCCCTTTTCTTTTTTTTTTTTTTCCCTTAAAGCCTACCTGTGCCAATTGTGGATACGCCTTCCACAGTTGTCAAAAGATAAAACGGCACAGACAGATGACAGTGTGACTGCCCAGTCCATTGCAAAGTAACATCAATGATCCCCAACAGGGACACCTCATTTGTTACCCTAAAGAATTTCAGCAGGGTACTTGTCCAAAGTCCAGGGAAGCTGGCTGAGAGGTCTGTTTTGACTTCCATTGAGTCTGGGTCATAGCAATGGTTAACAGTTGACCCATCTATTGGACTTCAGTCCGTTAGAAGCAGAGAGGAAGGTATGCAACAAATGATCTGAATCTATGGCACACAACACTGTGATACTCAGCTCATGTGCATGCTCAGCCACAGGAGGGGCATTTCCAAGGCTGATAGAGACACACAAAGGTCCCTGCACCACGAGGGAGTGAGACAGAAGTCCAGACTAGGGACCACTGCAGCCAACATCAAG